AAAAAAAAAAAAAAAAAAAAAAAAAAAAAAAAAAGAGAGAGAAAGAAAAAGGACTGACGCTCCCCAGAATGGAAAGGAGCCAGGACCATAAGGACCTGTTTTATCAAAAGAAAAAAAAAAGAAGAAGTATCTAGTCTACTGACTAGCAATCACTAATTAGAAATTAGCCTTTGTAGAGACCCTGTCAAGCGAGCAAATTGAAACGCTGCATAGTCGTCATAGTCAAAACAAATGGTCAATTTGAAAATTCGTGTCTGAGGCTCTCTGCTTTTGAGGATTGATTTTTTGGAAGGCGTTTTACCGTTTTACTCACCATATCCATGTCCTTGACCTTGTTTGCCTCCAAATCCAGCACCTGTTCCACATTGCTATGGCTCAGTCAGAAGAAGGTTAACAACACATTAACATCAGGTTAACAACAGGTTCACAACAGGTTAACAACAGGTTGACAGAAGGTCAACACAAGCTGGACTTTACAAGCGCCAGTACCTGAACACATGAACCGACAAGGGATGCAAATGCACAAAGAAATAGCAAATGCAAAAGACCGACAAAATAAAAAGCATCCTGGGAAGTGCTGATCACATAGGGAATGCAGTTCTTTGTTGCTCCTGTGCCGAGAGTGAGTCATCAAGCCGTTCAAAAGTGTTGAATTGAATACGTTAACTCTTCAACTATCTTACACTAGCTAGAAGGGTTACCATGGCATGCCATGGCTGAATGGTAGGTACACAGTACTGCATACAGGTCATGATTCTCGTCAGATACAAACATAATGAGGGTGCATGCTGCTCAAGAAAACTGTGATTCCCATGACCTACAATGACGTCTCTGTGTTTGCCAGATATAAATTTAAAAGAAGAAGAAAAAAAGAGGACTCATTGTGTCCTCCAATGTACACAAGTGACGGTTCAGGTCCGATACAGTCATGGTGAGGATTTGTGCTCCTCTTGAAAACTGTGCTTCTCATGAGCTTCGATAAGGGCTCCTTGTCTCCTGGAAAAAATGTATACAAGTGATGATTCTCGTCAGAGACAGAAATGATGAGCATGTGTGCAGCTCAAAACAACTGTGCTTCCTGTGAACTCTTCTCTCTCTCTCTCTCTCTCTCTCTCTCTCTCTCTCTCTCTCTCTCTGTGTGTGTGTGTGTGTGTGTGTGTGTGTGTGTGTGTGTGTGTGTGTGTGTGTTACATGCCCAGTTGGGCAATGTATGTATAGCCACGGA